CTCCCTCCCTCCCTCCCTCCCTCCTTCCCTCCCTCCCTCCCTCCCTCCCTTTTCCCTTTTCCCTTTTTTCTTAAGACAAGGGTTTCTCTGTGTTACAGTTCTGGCTGTCCTGGAACTCACTGTGTAAACCAAGCTGGCCTCAAACTCAGAGATCTGCTTGCCTCTGCCTCTCAAGTGCTGGGGTTAAAGTGTCTGCCACCACCACCTGGCTTCTTTTCCTTTCTTAGTGCTTACTGATTTAATTCTTTTTATGTGTATGGGCATTTTGCCTGCTTATATATCTGCACCACTGTGTGCTTGGTGTCCTTGGAGGTTAGAAAGATGGTGTTGGGGCCTCTGGAACTGCAGTTACAAGTTGGTTGTGAGCTGCCTTGGGTGTTAGGAATTGAATTTCCAGTCCTCTACAAGAGCAGCCAGACTCCATGACCACTGAGTCCTCTTTCCACCTCCAGCCAGGATTTCTTAATATCCTTGTATCTTAGATTCCTTTGAGAGCTGCCTAGTGAAAACTGAGACTTTTTAGAAACACTTGAAAAATATATTAAGTAAAGAAGATTAGCTGGCAATAGGTTATATTAGTTTTCAAAAATTTATAGTTATTTGTGTTGATTTATTGCTTGTTACATAGCTGGATAGAGTGGAGCATTGAGTAATATAATTTTGATGTAATAAGGATAAACACAACATCTGTACTGAAATGTGATAAGGTGTTGATTTCTCCTGTTGACAATGTCATAGAAATTGCCAGTAATAGCATTGGTTTCTCACCTACATTCCTGCTTAAGGGAGGGGCTAAATTTCAGTGAGAAACTAGTGGAGAGGGAGATCCAGATGTTTTCCCATGAAGATTTCTGATTAAACAGAATTAAAGAACCACTGTCCTTCATGCTTCCTTCGTCCCTCTCTCAGAACTGCAAATCAACTCTGGCTGCCCAGTTTTCCTCAGCCAAAACCATTTAAAATCTTAATTACCTAATGCAGCCATTCCACTGATATCTGCTTTACTCATTTCAAAAACGAGAAATAGAACACCAGCAAGAAAATAGCCCGGTGCTTTTGGAAAGCTTTTTGGATCCTCTTGGTTGTGATTTCACTGGGGAATGAGATGATTAATGTGGCTGGGCAGGTATACTTATCTCGTATATCTGGAGGTCCTGAGGATGTTTAGGCTGGCTCACTAATGCAGGCAGTTTTCTGTAAACCGACCAGCTATGTGATCATTGCGGTGAGCAGTGCCTTCATGATGAAGCACTGGGGAATAGGCCCCCTCTCTGCCACTTGGCTCAGAAA